TTCATAGTAAAAATCGCTAAATGCACTTGAGGTAGTCTTATATTAACAGCTGCTGTAAACAAACTAATTGATAGATGGCGCTCAAATTTGTACCATATGTATGTCAAGAAAGGGTGTACCAACATAACAAAAAAAATGTTTGAAAAAGGTCTTTTATTTAAGGAGTAGTTAACAAACAACAAAATCCGGATACTTTTTGAGCAGAAGGTACTCATAACAATAGAAGGTGTTAGTAGCTATAAATACCTGGGCCAGTGGTGACATGGAAGCTGATGCGAATAAAATAATATTATTTCAAATAATAATTCTATGAAAAATTTTTGGACCTATACAAAAAAATCGAGTATACAGCATAAAATTTAACCAAGAGTTAAAACGACTAGTTGAACATGATACAATCAGTAAGTTCATTAAAAAACATCATTTAATGTGGCCAGTTCACGTTATAAGAATGCCAGAAACAAGAGTGCAACACAAGATATTCAAGAATGATATCAGAAGCAATAGAAGAATAGGAAATTCAAGAAAACTATAAAAAGATAGTGTCCGGAATGATCTAGAGGAGATTAATAAGAAACTGGAAAGAGAAAGCAAAAAACAGAGAACACTGGAAGCTTGTTGTAAGACAGGCCTGGGTTCTATACCTATAGTCCAGCAAAAAAATAAATAAATATAAATATTTGTAATAAACCAACACTTAAGTTACCTAGCCTTTTCAGAATTCATCAAGTTTCAGAGAGTTGATCAATTTTTTATTATTGTTAGCAATAAAAATTAAGAAAGAAAAAAATTATTTTATTATTTTATAATAATTTTTATAAAATCGATAATTCGATATATTAAATGGATATATCATGACTTTAGATTAAAGTCGAAAATCAGAATTATAAAATAATTCGGTCTTTTTTTTTTAATTTTATTTTTAACAATAATAAAAAATTGACCAGCCTATGAAAACACTATATTAGTATTGATTTATTTGAAATATCTATACCTAATATACGTAATTATTTTTTGTCAGGCTTTAGATCGTTTTTTGTTCTATATTACATTAAATAATATTAAAAAGCTATTAATAAAAACACTAAATTATTTATTTACCTCAAACAAAAATTATAATTTATTAATTTATTTATAACTGATATTTCGATCTACCCATAGACCATCTTAACTGTATATAATCAAATAACCTTGACATGCAAAATGCACTACACCGATTACTGGAACGGACTTATATCGCATTAGCGTTAAGTTTACTATACGGTTGAAAATAATTGTAAAACATTACCTCTCGGCCAATGTAGGTTGGAGCCTGATTTTTATGATGCCGCACTATATTATTAAAGCGCCTAATATTTCCTACCAAAATCTTTGGTTATTAACAGCTTCAGTGCACCTCTGAAAATTTTTGGCCTGAAATATTCAAACAACAGTTTTCTCTTACTGAAATTTTTGTTTAACCATAGCTTCAGATTAGCTTTGAAATTAAAACATTTAACAAAATCTTATTAAAACGTCAAATCTTTGTTACTGAAAATGTTGGTTACCCGCAGTTCGAGGTTACCCATCCAAAACTATTCGCTATAAACATTCGCATTAAAGAGGAGGATTTCAACATTTCTAAAATTTTAACAGAGAGCGATTACGACTATGAGTTTTTGTGGCTACTCAAATATTCAAATTTTCGTAAAAATTCTTTATTAAATAAATTCAATCATTTTTTTATTAAAAAACCTTCTCATCAGAAAAAATGATGTTCAGCAATTAAACATGTTCACACTCACTCAATCGATATTAGTAACTATTTTTTTAACTTCGGTAAAATCTAAATGGTTTTAAAACTTACCTGGCTTTACTTTTATAGTTTGTTTAAAGGCTATTGTAATCAACGTTTTTTTCGGATTTGCTTATGAAGTGGTCTAGAATACACTTGACGACCACGATCTTAATTTATCATCAATTATTGTCCAATACACAAACCCCAGTTTTTTTTGTATTCTAAATATCAAGTATACAAATTTTCATATGACATCCCTGTTAAATGAACTCTATACTATTTATTCATGAGTTGCTAAATTGTAAACATTTTTTTGTCAGAAAAGATAATATTCGTCAATTAGCCATATTCGCAGTAGCACAACATTTCTTTCGCTCTATTGACACTAGTAGTTGTTTGAAAATCATTGAAGTCACAACAACAACAAAAAATATACGAATTTTGCAAGGATTAGAAATCTTAATATATGTAAATGTTCTCTAAAAAGAATATCGATGAAATATTATTGACATACATTCTATTATATTAACTGACCATTACCAAATTTTACTGAAATGCTACTGGAATAAATAAACAGATAGAAAATATTTCTCTTCAACCGCCATAAAACTTGTTTTCGATAAAAAATTTTATAGTCTGAGAAGAGTCAAATCCAAAGGGAAACCTATATTTAGTGATTATGTTAGGTTTTGCAACAAATTACTACTAAATCTACTAAATCTTTATCGTTCAATACATAATCTCCCTTGTGCTGTAATTCTGCGATTTCTTCTGGTGTCGATGTAGTTTCTATACATCGTTTAAATCTTTAACGCCTGTTATTTTCACTTTTTAACAAATCAATCCACTTGTAAATCTTTGAAAAAATATTAAGAAGGATCAGTATTATTTGTAACATTTACCAGTACCATAGCGATGGTAACGTTAAAAATTATTTAATAACAGAATGAATTGTTAGATATGTTTTGATAAAAAAAAATTTGAAAATAATAAGTGGATAGCACTTCGAGAGCTCATTGAACAACTTAATGTATATTTAATTAAAATGTAATTTATCAGTTAAATGTTAAAAATAATTAAAGCTGGCATTGCCTTACTACAATCTTTTAAAATATCGCTATTTTTCGAAATAGATGAAAAAACCCCTGGTTATTGCTCGGTGTCTTCACAGGAAACAACATAGTGGGGGCCCAGATAGTTATTTTGGATATCATCACAGTTTAAACGTCTCAATCACGTCTCTAAGATGGAGACACAACACAGAGTAATTTTTCTCTTATTGTCCAACATTTACAAGAATTTTATTGAGATTGTTGCGCTGTTCACGGTGTCTCTCTCTCTTCCTCTTTCTCTCTCCCTCTCCCTCTTTCTCTCTCCCTCTCCCTCTTTCTCTCTCTTTCCCTCTCTCCCTCTTTCTCTCTCTTTCCCTCTCTCCCTCTTTCTCTCTCTTTCCCTCTCTCGCTCTTTCTCTCTCTTTCCCTCTCTCGCTCTTTCTCTCTCTCTTCTTCTCATTTTCTCGTCCTCCTTCTCTTTCTCTCTCTTCCACTTTCCCACTTTCTTTTTCCCCCTCTCTTTCTCTCAGTCACTCGTTCCAATCTTCTTAGATTCACTAAAGAAACTAAGGTATTTAACTAAGAGTAGCATAATTTGTTATAGGCATTGAATCTTTCTTTTGGCTTTGAGCACAATAGTCAACTCGATTTATTCTGCCTCTTCACATAAACAGGCAAACCTCGTTGTAGAGAATGTTTTTTGTTTGAATTTTTTTTTCGCATTTGAGTGAGGAATATGTGCGTATTTATTTTAAAAATATATTTAAGTCTTATTTATTCATATATATATACAAAACATTAAAAAATTAATTGTATATTGGTGAGTCTGTAATTTTAGTTTTTCCAGACATTTTTACTTTTTCCTTATTAAGGAACTCTTCCAAATCCAAATCTTCTAACAAGTTAATAGTTTGCATACAAAGAAGTTTCTTATAAGTGACAAGTTGAGTGTTTAACTTTTATTTGAATAAATTCGTTATAGAGAGGTTTCTTTGTATGCAAAAAAAAAATTTCGTTATAGAGAGGAATTCACAATAGAGAGTTTTGTTATAGAGAGGTTCGCTATAGAGGGGTTCAAATATATGAAAATCGCTGTGTCTTCAAAAAAACTTCGTTATAGAGAGGAATTCGTTATAGGGAGGTTCACTATAGAGAGGTTTGACTGTAATATAATAAATTTCAATATCAATATCACAATATATTATAAAAAGATAACTAACTATTAATATATTTCAATTTTTATACAACAATCATGTAATATTTCAAACACCCAATTTAACGAATGACAGCATCCAGACAAATCTATAACGAATCATGCATGCATTATATAGAATAGTCAATAATTTAGCAAAAACCAAAAAAAGAAATTGCTCTCTTCTCTCCACTTTTTGTAAATAAACCTTTTTGGAAAATATATTTTAACAAGGAACCATTTTATACAAAATATTTACGATTTTGGTGTGAAACTTGTTTAACTTATTTATTCGATATAAAGAAAGGGCTATCTTTCGTTAAACTGGTTGACTACTAAACGTACATATCTACATACTTACATTTATTTAAATTGGTGTTTAAGGTAAATAATAAGTGAATAAGTTGACAGACATAACTTTTTGTCTTAATCTTTTTATTTGTGGTCACATTGAACTCAGGTAATCATTGCGTGTCTTACATTTTCTGTGATTTCCCCTTTTTTCGAAGTAGCACACTTAAGCTCTTAATCGTTCTCAGTTGTCGGCGGCAAGCACAGCCTTTTCCCGACAATTAAGCAAAGAAAATAACAAAAAGACACGCTGTCTGCCACTTACACAATAAAATGAGCTTCCCAAGGGTTAAAATAAAAAAAGTGACTGGGAACTTATATACTTACAACTGTTGCTTTACATTAATTTATATTCTCAATTTAAAACCTCAATGTAATTATGTAATTTATATATATTATGTTATATATAATTTAGTAGATTGAAATATGGGAAGAGGGGAAGAAATTCTTTGTTTAATGCTTTAGTTTAAGAATCCATGTTTATCTATAAATATATATATATATATTAACTATAATAACAATCAATTAAATGTATCTATTTTTTTCTAGATAATATAAATAAACTCTGCAAGTTATAACAAATACTTCAACACTTTACTGAACACAATTTAAGAAGATCTTAACCTAATACATATAATAAATTCTCTGGCAATTAAAAGAAGTTCTTCACTTGCTCGACTTGGCACAGCCAATTTTCGAAATCTTAAATATGAATGAAATCTATAGTGTTATCAAGAGAGATACATTAATTTTTCTTAAATCAAATTATAAATACAAGCGTAGAGAAGTGCAGTTAGAACCTGAACCGCAGCAAGAGTCTGAGAAGCACATTTGCAGACGAACATTCAATAAAAAATTTAATATTAATATTTGCATATTTAAAAATATTTTAAGACTATTTATTTTAATTATAAAAAATTATATGCAACAAAGTAGAGTTGAAAGCCACCTATTGCATCCAAAGGATGGACCTGTTGTCAGTGTTGCTACAGTTTACGCAGAAGACAAATGCATCAAAGCGAACCACTTGAGCGCTGCTGATAAAGTAAATTATGTAGAAAATTATGATGAACTGTCAACAGTGGCGAGGTGTCGAAAAGTGTCACTTTATCAATGCCACTGGCCAACTATGAAATACTGGCGCCGGAAACTTGTTTATGGCGTGTCGAATCATTATAATCTCTTAACAGCACTTCCATCCTTTACATCAACTCCATCAACGACAAAGCTGTCAATGAAGCATTTGCCAGTTTTGGTTTGTGGTAAACGTATCAGTGCGTTGTCAATACTCATGACAGTTTTTATTGCATTTGCGCTAATTGCTCGGAGTGTGGAAGGTGAGTTCCATACTTTATCTTTTATTTTTTTTTTTTTATACTTTAAAATTAAGTATGCAGCTAAATTGCTATGAAAGTAAAACCCATAATTATGCGATGCTTGTCTAGATGAGATCTATTTATTATACAATTTGAGTGAACAAAATTTAATTAACATTTTATTAATGAAATTACTTTTAAACATACTTTTTTTATTAATCAATTAAACTTGAAGAGATTACAGTTAACTTTTATTACAAGTAGTCTAGGAGCTTAAGAATTTAAAAAAAATTAACTTCTAATATAAATAGTTATAAATAAATTTAAATCATATATTTAGTTAAATTATTTGTTCAATCTATTGAAAATACAAGGCGGCGTAGTACAGTTTGTTGAAACTAAAATCCCTCTAGAGCATTTTTAACCAAAAAAATAAATGGTTCTTTATACCTCTGTTGCGAGTCCAATTGACGGCGATATTTTATAATTTTATAGGTATTCGAACGATTTAATGCTGCCCACCGATTTAATGCTGAAATTTATTTATGGAAATAAATTTCTATTTTCATAGTGCTCATACCTGTGGTGGGGTATGTAGACGAGTTCTTCTTTCACGGTTCAACCGTTCATTAAAAACATAGACCTGCCGAAGAATCATTCTCAATTCACCTGTATATTTTGATGCTATGTTTTCAAAGCATTTTCATCACTCCATCAATTCACCTCTTTTGCATATTCCCAGGATTTCCCATTCGAATATCTTTAGCTGCTTCCTTTGAATATGCTTTTGTGTTTTCGCATGTCTCTACTTTCTATAGAAAACACCTGTAAAAATAAAACAAAAATTTTATTAAATTTTGAATTTCTTTCTCGAAAATATTAATCGATTCATTTTATATGGATGTGTTCAAATCCGAAGTTATTTAATTATTTGATTATTCGCAAAGCAAACGAAGTCTCCGAAATTAAAAAAAATTTAGATTTTTTGTGAATTTGAAGACTTCGAATATCCAGGTTTGCGATTATTATAAGTAGTGCAACTCTTCGAAGACTTCGTGATCAAATGTTAAAGAGAGAGCACACAATGATAATGGATTATTCTATGAACATGGTTCTATGGATATTCATTATTTTTGTATGGATAATAGAATTTTTTATTTTTAGTATATAATTTAAAATTTCGTTTTATTTTAAATGATTTCTTTAACAAAATTTCCGTTAAAAATATAAAAAAAATTAAAAAATAAAAAAAAATTATTTACTTCGAATTATTTACTTAGACTATCTTCAGTGTGTAATATAAATAATTTTTTATAAAAATTAAAATATAATTAAAATAATTTACACAAATTAATAAGTGTAATTTTTTATTTAATACAACATTTTTTATAATATTATTTTTTATAATAACAAAAAATTTAAAATAAATATAATATAATATATTTATAAATGCATAAATATTGATATTTACATATATTTATATATTGTATATAATACTTCAAATTTTCTTTAAGATAATTATTTCAATACAATTTTATAATATTTATATATTATAAGTTATTGAAAATGTGGTTTTTATATATAATTCTTTAAAATGTAATACCAAATAATATAACACATAATTTTCTGGAATAAATACCAAATATAAAATCATATTAACAACAACAAATTCTATTATCCATACACAAATTAGTGCTTATTTGTGTGATCCACCTTCATTTGCATTGTGTGTTCTCATTTAACATTCAATCAGGTCATCATTTCTGGACGTTCTTATTTCTAAGAGTTTTAATGTATGATCAAAGCATTACTTTCTCTCTTGATACGACCAAACTGGCAATCAAACCAAAATAGCTGATCACATCTAAACAAAATTGGACACATGCATCCTTCTGCTAGATTTCAAAATTGACTTGGTCCAAACTGGGCAAGAAACGTACCAAACAGTTGCATCAACTAAGACATAACCTGCGCAGTATTACGGTATCAATTACGATATTATTATATATTACAATATCAATATGTGACTAGATCTACTCTATAATGACTTTTGTCGTAGTTGTAACTCTGCGCATGAGGTGGAAACTATCTCTCTCTACCTCATATGTCAGTGTCCATCATTGGCTAGGAGAAATTTGAAAATTTTCAAGTTCCTCTTCTTACAGACCTGAAAAGTTGTCATTCTGCAAAATTAGGAACTTAGTCAAGTTTATAGATTTATTTATTCGAATGATTCACTTTCACTTAAATGTCATGTGTCTCAGCGTTGCTCGTACACTGACCTCAAATCTGCCCATGAATAACACTAACCCATGGTATCACAACGGAAAATTATTTGAGCTCAAGTGGACTTTAGGCACAAGATCGCCCCTTCAACGTAGCTTAATGTGTGAGCATCCACGAGAATTTTTTAAAAGAACCGGATTAATTTAATTTTGTTAATTAATTTCATTTATTTTTTTTTTATTTTATTTTGCTTTATATTATTTTTTTTATATTATTTTTTATATTGTTTTTTATATTATTTTTTATATTATTAATTTATATATTATTTAAATGTGCGAGCATTTAAATGTTAGTCAGTTGGCTAATAAACGTTGACTCTAAGCTTCAAATTTGGCAGGGCACGAGCTCAATCCCTGCTACTTGCAGTCTAAAAAAAGTTGTTTACGCATAATTAAATACAAAAAATAATTCCAAAACCCCTGATGACTGATATTTGATAATAATCGAAACAAAAATTCAATTAATTAAAATAATATAAAAAAGTATTTTTGTTGTTGTTGTTCACTACTTTTCAAAAACCTCTTTATTATTTTTTTATAATACTTTTTTTATATTATTTTTTTTTGTATTATTTTATTATATTATTTTTCTTATATTATTTTTCTTATATTATTTTTTTATATTACTTTTTTATTATTATTTTTTTTATATAATTTTTTTTATATTTTTTTTTATATTATTTTTTTTATATTATTTTTTTCATATCATTTTTTTTATATTATTTTTTTCATATCATTTTTTTTATATTATTTTTTTTATACTATTTTGTTTACATTATTTTTTTATAATATTTGTTTTATATTATTTTTTTTATAATATTTTTTTTATATTTTTTTTTTACATTTTTTTTTTACATTATTTTTTTACATTATTTTTTTAAAATTATTTTTTTTACATTATTTTTTTTATATTATTTTTTTAACATTATTTTTTTTTAACATTATTTTTTTTTAACATTATTTTTTTTATATTATTTTTTTATATTATTTTTTTTTTATTATTTTTTTAAATTATTTTTTTTATATTATTTTTTTTATATTGTTTTAGTTTATTTTGTTTTACATTATTTTGTTTTTTTATATTATTTTAGTTTATTTCGTTTTATATTATTCTGTTTTTAAATATTATTTTTTTATATTATTTTATTTTGTTTCATATTATTTTGTTTTTTTATACTATTTTTTTACTATTATTATTATTATTTTCTATTATTTATTTTTTTTGTTGTTATCAACCATGTGAAAAAATAAATAAATTTTTATTTATTTTATTTTAATTTAATTTATTTTCTTTTATTCTCTTTCATTTAATTAAATAAATTATTTATTTATTTATTATTTATTAATATTTAATATTAAATATTAATAAATAATTAATATTTAATTTTTTTTATTTACATTTCAATTTTTTTAATTTATTTTAATTTAAATTTGTTTTAAAATTAATTTGTCTTTGATGCAATTTGTTATTAAATTGTGTTTAGTTCAAAAATAAGTATTCAAGATGATCTGATGACATATTCTTTGGAATTTTTGAAGTTGAAAAAAGTTCTACTCTAAAAGTTTGAGAAATTCAAAAATTCTTTTTGTTTAAGAAATAAAAAAAATTAAAAAAAACATAAAATCTTACAAATTCACAAATATTCTAAAAAATTGCAATCATGTACATAAATTTTGAACTATTTTGTTTTTTATATTTGAAAATGGAATTCACTTTTAGCCATAAATTATATTGAAATCGTCTGTGATGCACAATTTAAATAAAATGAAAGAGCTTCACAGCAGCAATGCAACACCTCCGCAAAAATGCAAATTGTTAGAGGCAAAGATAGTTCTCAAACGTGTTCAAAGATATTTACATCAAAGTTTAAAAAACTATTTTTTTTCCTTGTACTGAAATGCATAGAATAATATGCATCAATTATAATAAAAATAAAATAAAAAATTTTAAAGAAGAAAAATAAATTGAACGTCAATTCGAATTCCACGACTTTCATCCCAATACAAAAAACTAGAAAAAATCAAAGATAATACCAATTTGGTGTGCAAGTATTTAGCTCGATAATACGCAGATTGCATATATTTCAATAAATAATGAATCAGGAATTCAATACGAAAATAAAAACTATGCAAATAAATTCATATTCACCATAAATCTTATATAGGAGATACCTTAACAGTCATTAAGTCATATTAATATTTAAATGGAGCCATTAAAATAATGGCAAGGGCATATAGATTTCTGAATATATTTAGAACCATATAATGTGTTTTATAGTGTGTTTTAAAATTGCAGCAACTAAATCATTTAATATAAATGAAATAAGTATAAATATATAAAATCAATTGTTTGAGATAACACAAACTATAATTTTCGGTTACTAAAGCTGTATAATATTAATTTTCTTTGAAATGTGTAATTAAATATGTGGATGTAAAAGATATGCAATTGTAACAGTACGAGTCCACAAGCAACGCCAAAAGTTCTCTATTGACCATGCATTTCGTCACTACTAGTCGATTTTTTAGGATTGTATAGACGGTAGTCAAACTCACGACGGTTTGTAAACGAATACCCGCCATGCTATGATGAAGCTATTGCCAGCTATGCATTATCAAAAAATTCCCTTAGGGGTTTCATTATTGTAAGATGTGCCGTAAGGAATATATCAATAGTATTGTATACTAAATCTTCTTGACCTATTTAAGACTAAACATATCAAAAGAAAAAGTTTTTCTAATATCAGCCACACAAGATTCAAATACGAGGGTTTATAATGAAAAAATGCTAACTTGCCGTTGAAAATTGCTTTATGGTTTCTCGAAATATTTTCCTTTATGATAAATACACTTTTGATGCCTTCGAATTATTTGTCAAGGCATTATTTTCAATCTTTTTCAGACACTTCCAAAAAAATGGTTTTTAAACCATACAACAACGACTTCTTCCTCGACACAAATCGTTTTCCACACAATTTAGTCGTATTCTTGACTTGTTCTTGAAGAGAGGTCATTCTTCAATTGATGGGATGACTCACCGATTGACCCACCGATTTTTTGAATGTTCAAATAGTCGGTTGTTAGACGTGATGTGTGAGTACTCGCATTGTCTTGATGGAGATAGAGAATGGTTCGACGGCGCTTGTTTGTTTTCCGTATTACACTCAAAACTTTACGAGCATCTTTTTAAGATTTTGTTAAATTGTTGGATGATGGGGGATCCAACGAGAACAATCCGTTCACACGGCTAAATGATCGTGAAATATTTTATATATGCACAACAACTGATTTTGGACAAACTTCACGTATTTCATCACTGAGCGCACTGCGGCCACGATTAAAATCGTTGTACCAGCGTTTCACAATGACAAAGGATGGTCATTTGGCTTTATCCCCAAATGTAGAAGTATCGCCAAATGTAGACATAAACTGTATTAAATTATTTACAACAGTAGTTTTATAATTTAAACATTTTTTTATTAATTGAACAACTTACTTTCAAAAATAAAGATAAAGGACAGTGATGCCTGAAAAATCTATGAATTGGACGTCTATCTTATTTGCTTATGTCTTGCCATTGCCAGACGAGATCAGTAACCCGTACAAATTTTATTATACTGATAAGACTTATGGTCTTTAGCTAAGATATATTATTAGGTTTATCAAAAGGCTCAAATTATCTCCCCATCATATTATAGAAGCAAAATAGCTATCATAGATTGCACTCTATTATTGTATATTTCAACAATTCATAACTGACCTAATTTCTTGATTTTGTCGATATTAATTTTTTAGGATTTGAAATACTACTATTCATTTTTGCAACCTTTTTTATACTATGATTTCGAAATTTATATATAATCTGTTAAATTGAATTTAATTTTTAATTGTAGCTGGAACTTGTTGGGAGACTTCATTTAAACATTTTAAATGTGATAAAATTTTCGCTATGAACATTAGCAAAGCCGAGTGTTGTGGTTATAGTCAGGAATTTTCGTATACCGATCGCGAACTCACTGGTGTGGAATTTTTCTTTGCAACCACAATTGGTGAAGGAGCTGAATGTGCACCTTGCATGGGTGAGTAGAGAAACTAAACAAAATTAATATGAAATATGAAAAATATGAAAAATAAATTCTTGTCACGCATATAAAATTTTAGAGACCTGCAAGGCCATAAAATGTGGAGAAAATAAGAAATGCGTCAAACGCAAAGGCCGTCCAAAATGTATTTGTGCACCCGAGTGTGGTCAATCGGCTTGCCGTAGAAATCGATTCAGAGCACAACGAAAGCACAATATTTATAATGAACCTTTCCACATTGGCTACGATAAGCGAAGAATCTCAGCCGTAACGCATGTCGAACTCAATAAATCGCCACGTGATATACGTAGTCTAAGTAGTGAAAATATGAATATCAATTTAGGATTAGATGATGTTTTGCACCAAAATCACAACCAAAGAAAAATACATATTATGCAAAGTCAACCCAGCCAACAGAAGCCACAATATAAACAGAAAGAATCTGTTCATGGAAGAATATTGATAACAGCAAATACAGAACCACAACAAGTCCATCAGGAGCAACATGAGCAGCCAGGACCTCGCAGATTACAGATACTAAGTAATGTAGGAATATATGAAGATGAAGAACAGAAGGTCAGAAGGCGTAATAAGAACGACTACTACAGAAATAGGCATGATAATAATGAATCAAAAACCAAAATAAAATATAAACAAGATCATAACAACCATCACAGACGCAATAAAAATACGCGTGTTAGACATATTCAAGAAAATTCCGATAATGTTAATCTACCAAATCACAATAATGAAAAATTAGACAAATATCATCAACAATATCAACATAAACATCAACATCAACAACATCAACAGCAGCAACAACAACAACAACAACACAATCGCAAAAAGCATAAGAAGCTCAGGGATCATTTAAATCCAACATATACGTCAACCCCGTTATTATCTTCAACATCAAATGATGAACTAACAACATCAGCTGCCACATCAACCGTCTCTAATGCAACAGCAACAACAGCAACAACAACAACGAAAACCACTCCCGTCTATGCCTTGTCTTCGCCGTGGTTGCCGTCTGCTGCTGCTGCTGCTGCTGCTGGTACTGTAAATCATCAGCGTTTATTGAACCGCGGAAGTAACTCAGCAACATCACTGTCAGTTCAGGTAAGCCTATGTAAGCAACATTGCCACCGCTTATATCATTGATATTCATTATCAACTTCATTAACCACTTCATTTATGCGCGAAGGTGTTATTCTAAATAATGCAGGCGGTAGCAGATCGTTTTGCACCAATGATTTTGCATTTTTTCTAAGATTAAAATTATGATAAATTTGATTTGCATAAAATGTTTTCAGAGAACATCTTAGAATTCTGAAAATTTTACTGTATGCTTAAGATTAGCCCTAAGGAAAGATATACGAGTTAGTAGTTACCAACAAGTGTGTAGTAAACTATTATTACCTACATACCAAAAATTATGTAAATTTAAAAGGAGTATTGCATACACTCTACATCTTTTGGCTGAGATTGTATAAATTGGCATTTAGCTTTACCAGATGGGAAATTATAATGCCCTATATTTATGTAAAGTTAATGTAATACTATAGGTCAACATTCTACTAATGATAACTGAAATCTGCTCTTTGAGAGTATCGACAAAATCAGTATTGGTTATGTGTATTATTACTTTGAAAGCATATATATTATTATTATTTACATACTCCTTTTTAGAAGATTACAGAAATTACTAATGCAATTTATATATTGCTTGCTTTTTAAAAATATATAAGCTATAAGCTGTTGCTTGCTTTTATGTGCAGTTCTTTAAAGTATGTCCCAGTAAAAACTATCCACCTTCAAGTTGCTTGAGGTCTTCTACATCATCTTACACTTTGTAAGTTCCAAGTCAGTGCTATGTACGGAATAGGTCTAACGTTGGGTATGACCGATGCAAACGTACTACCATTTTTTACTTCAATAACAATATTCTGTTGGGGGGTTAGTAATTCACAATAGTTCTAACGCAGGACATGCGTTAGAACTATTCAAGACCTTCAAGACCTTTAAAACCCTTTTATTACCTTTTTAATATTAATTTAAAGATAAATTGAATATTTTTTGGATATATAAGTAACCTGTATTATACTT